GGTGGTTGGCGTGGCCTCTGTGCGTGCGTGACGTGCGTGCGTGCGTGCGTGCGCGCGCCCGTGTTTCTTGCGTGTGGTGTGTGTGTGTGCGTGCGCTTGTTTGTGTGTGTCTGGGTGTGTGTGTGTGTGTGTGTGTGGTGTGTGTCGGCGTGCGTGCGCGCGCCCGTTTTCTTGCGTGTTTGTGTGAGTTTGTGTGTGCGCGCGGCGCGCGCGCGCGCGCGTGTGCGCGTGTGTGTGTGTGTGTGTGTGTGTGTGTGTGGTGTGTGTGTGTGCGTGTGCTGTGTGTGTGTGTGTGTGTGCGTGTGTGCGTGGCGTGGTGCGTGCGTGTTGTGCGTGCGTGCGTGCGGAACGGCGTGGTGTGGTGTGTGCGTGTGTGTGCGTGCGTGCATTCACATGTTGCAGTATCGCTCGTGCCTGAACATTACCGGCGCGAAAGCCGACTACTGCGGATATCAATTTGTGGATTAGCGCAACCGCATAGCTACGATAATTTACAAAGTACATTTCATTGCAGAAATGAATACATGGAATATCATTAAGATAAATTAGTTCGACTGGATTAAAATACGAGGATTTGTGTTCATATAATGATATTCGACGCGTACACACTCTGCGGTATATAATACAGTTCACGTGTGCGTTTAGTCATACCAGTTCGCGCGTATAGCAATGACTTATGATTAGAATCCGTATGATTAGTGAGGGTAGGAGTGAGAGATAAGACAGTGCTGCTCGCACAACAGCACGTCGTGGTCTTCTTCAAATCTTTCTCCACGAAGCTTCGTATGCGCGTCGTGTGCGGCGCGTCTGTAACTGAGTTAGATACAACTACAGCACGAGGCGGGCGGCAGCATGCTCGATGATATCGCAACGACGACAGCACGAGTTCAGTGCACCACCGAGTGTAGTGTAGTTACCCGCGGCAGTCGCGCAACGTTAACATAACGCGTGAGAATGAGGACTCGCTACTGAGCTCCGTCTCTCTCGCTATGTAGCTCTCGCGTTCTTTCTCTTCGCGTGCGTGCTCGCTCTCGTCTGCTCACTGCTCTTCCATCACCGCATCCAGCGAGTTCTCCTTGTTGCGGCCAGCACTGCTTATAGTTCTACACCTTTAAAATTCTAACTATAAATCGATCTGATCTATTTGTGTGTATGCTCGCACGAGTTGTGTGCGCTCACGTGCGGTGAGTGCGCGCGTGTGTGCTTCCACTGTAAATCTGCATTACGCTTAATGTGCGCCTCCAAACGCAAGCACATGCAAGCTCTACATGCACCGCCTTCCTCTATCTATCTGTCTCTCTTCCTCTCTCGCTCTCCTCACTTCCTCTTACTCTCTCTCTCTCTCTCTCTCATTCGCCCTCCCCCTACTTGCTTTCTCTCACTTATATCAACTGG